TCAATAATATTAAATATAAGACCTAAATGAGCTATATATAAACAAAAATCACATCCTTTAGTGATTTTTATGAAAAAGATATATTATAGCCAACATACAAAAACATAAAGGTATTCTCTAATAAGGTTATAACAATAAAATATAAGCTTAATAATTATTTAATAAAACATTTTCTATAATTTTTAAACACTTATTTATTTCTTAATCAAACAAATAATTTATATTTTTGTTACAAAATAAAAAAATAAAATGTAACAGAAAATAATTTTATGGTAAACATTATGGTTAGATCACGCTAAAAATTACAAAAAAATGATTATTTTACAATAAATTGTGACAAATCTTTGAATTAAAAATTAGAAAAAATATTCTAAAATTACAAAAAGTTTTAAAAATAAATAGTTTTTTTTCATACTAAAAATAAAAAAAGTAAATATTTTTATTCAAAAAATTACAAAAAAAATAAATATTTTAGAAATTTTAGTAATTGTATGGATATGGTAGATCACCCATAGATCTATGACAATTATTCTTCATGGGTAGATTAGTAAAACGAAAAATATAAAATTTTATTTTTTGTTATTTTATATTTTTCTAAATCTTTCTTCAAAAAATTAAATAGATCTATTTAAGGCATGTAAAAATATAGGATTTTCTACATAAGGAAAGTATATAAGCATTTGCAAGCATTAAAAAAAACAAAATATTGTAACATACCATCAAATAAATTGTAAAAAAAACTAATAATTTTTGCATTTTTGTGTAAAAAATTGAACACGAACCTTAAAAATCTTAAGTTTTGGAGAGTTTTCTTTTTTTGTTTTTTTAAAGATTTTATAATCCAAGAATCTGTAGGGATGATTTGGTGAATTTGGGAGAGAGAAGGTTTTGGAATGAGTTAGAAGCCTTTTTCTCAAATATTTTTAATTCGTTTTTTGCCTACGAGAAATCATATTGTATTGACCGACACACTGATACAACTACAATATGACCCCGATACACCCCGATATAGGTCCTGTACGCCCCAATACAAGGTCAACACAACGAAAAAAACACAAAACAAATGATTTTCTAGCATTTCCCATGTCAACCCGTTAAAGATATGATATTTATCGATCGATACAGGATAATACGTTGCAAGATTTTGAACATTGGTTCCTATCGCTCTTTGGTGACATTAATCACAAACGTCACACAAAATATTTTCCCACCACATACGTAGTTTTATCTATGTTAAAAATTTTTGGTTACATTGAAAGGGTTCTACTATGATATTGGAATGGCAACCGGTCAACCAATATTATAAGCATGATAACCAAAAAAAATTACATATGGGTTTTGATTGACCAAAACCTTTTTGGCCACCATATCTTTCCGGCATCATACATTTTCCCTTAAAAGTAAACGTCGTAAACATCGTGAAAAGAGGATTTTCAACAACGTTTAGCTAAATGCAAGGTTTAAAATTTTGGTATGATACTCTCAATTTGGGGTATATCGTATTGTATCTTTGAAAAATTAATACAGGATACGCATGAAAATCGGATGTTTCATCTTTTTTAATGCATATCAGACCCGTATTGAGGGCGTACCGAGGGTGTGTCAGGGGTATATCAAGGCGTATCGATAGTGTATCAACAAAAAAGATACGACCAAAAACTGAAAAAAAAAATTAAAGGAAAAACCCAAGCTTCTTTTTTTCCCAAAATAAGCCTTCATTCACCCCCAAATGACTCTAAAGCCAAACTTCATTCATAGAGTGCTAGATTTGCAAAAAACAAGTGTGAATCGTTATTTTTTTAAATACTTTTCAAATTTTGAAAAAATATGGCAAAAGTACGTAAATCTTTTCAATCTTTTATAATATCTTGTGATTTCTTTTTTTTCTTTAATGTTTAAATTTATATTGATCTACATTTCTTACATTCAAAATCACAATTTTTTTTGTGTTATCATAGATTTATGAAAATTTCATGAAGATATTTGGGGAAATTATAAATTAACAAAAAATTTGAAAATGTAATTTTTTCTCTACTTATAAAGACTAAATATGTTTTAAATCTATGGATTTATCTACCATATCCATAGAGCAATTGAAATTTCTTCTTTAATATTTTTTTGATTTTTTATATTTTTAGAATTAAAAAAATAAATAATAATTAATTATATTTTATCATTTGATCACAACAATTGAATATATTATAATTATATAGATGATCTATCATATCCACAAGCCAATTGAAATTTCTTCTTAATAATTATTTTTTTTATTTTTATATTTTTAGAATTAAAAATAATTAACTAATTAATTATATTTTAACATTTGATCACAATGATTGAATATATTATACTTTTATGGATGATCTATCATATCCACAAAATAATTAAAATTTCTTCTTTAGTAACTATTTTTTGAATATATAATATAATGTTTATTTATTTTTTATAATTTTTAAAAATAAATAATAAATAATAATTATTTAAATAATAAATAATTATTAATTATATTTTCACATAGAAGTTGTGCCAATGCATGTTTTATGGTTGGATAGGAGATTTCGGTTTTTCTCATCCGATAAAACATTAAAACTTAAGAATTATATTTATAAATTATAGTTAAGCATAGGGTTTTTAATGAAATTATAATTAGGTATAACATATTTCTTCATAAAACCATTAAAATATATTAGTTTAATGTATATACACCTCATCGGAGTCTTATACTTAGTGTTGTTGATGTATTTCTATGAGTTATTACAGTATTTATAGTGTTTCCAAACGTATTTTAGTTTTTATCTGATACACATGCATATTCAAGGCATATCCCAATACATCTCTTAAAATTGTCTTTCCAATACACTTGGCGTTTCCGATACTTTGAACCTTGGCTAAATGTTACTGAAAGACTTTCATGGCAAATACTTACCATGATGTTTAAATCAAATGTTGCAAAAGATTCACATTTCGTGACGTTTGTTTACAATCTTTGATGACACTTTTAGCATTTGTCACCAAAAGTCCATTGGCACCAAAATAAATATTAGTAGTAAAGAAATTTTGGTGGCAATTGCCTTAATCATCATTGAAGGATGATAGAAAAGCATCACAAAAAGTTAATAATACAACAAAAAAAAATCTGGCTCTTTCAACTTAAGTAATTTCAGGGGAGAAATAATTAATTATTCATAAAATTCCCAGCTATATTCACATCTAACTAAGAATTAAAACAAAACAATTATTTTATTTAATAATTAATTATTAATAAGTTCTTAATAAAGTAATACATTATTCATAAAACAAAAAAATTTAACTCTTCAACTAAAGTAATTTCAAGTAAAAAAATATGTGGGTCCCACTTAAAGTTCCCACCTAATAATAAAATAATAAATTATTAATATTGTAAGAGGATAGCAGCATCACATAAGTATATGGACTCGGCCAACCCAAGGCTAATCGGGATTAAACTGGTCCACTTTATTAATTAAAAATTGAGTGTTCAACATTCCACCACAACAATAAATCAACATGTGTAATTAAAAAAGTGAACATTCTAGAAGCAAAGGTGTATCCAGCTAAGAACATTCTAGAATGCAACCACAACAGAAAGTGCCTAAAGGGTTAGGGGACCAAATACATCCGGTTTAAGGATCCAGACAGATAGAATCAAGCAAGCAAAGTAACTGTGCTGTCTGGTCAAGCTCAAAATCTCTTAAATCTCTCCTGAAACCCAAATCCTAACTGAAACCAAGGACAAGGAAAATGAGACAAATCTTTGAACAAATTCATTTTTAAAGCAAGAAAAGGAATACAAAGGCAGCAAAAGATCCTTGAGGGTTGAATTCCCAATCCATAAGTCCTCCCAAAAAAGAACCCTATTCCCAATGCATACATCATACCTGATTAAATTTAAGAATTGTGGAAGAACACCATAGATTGCCTTCCAAGGAGAGTTCAACGTGGCCCTTCGAGAAATGCCAACATCCCAACCATTGCCTTCTGCTCCATGAATACTCTCTACATCTTTGTGCCAAAGTATTTCCTCCTCCAAAGGCCATCTCCAAAGCCACTTACGCAAAAGGTCTGAGTTTTTCTTCCCTGGGCTCCATGAATACTCTCTACATCTTTGTGCCAAAGTATTTCCTCCTCCAAAGGCCATCTCCAAAGCCACTTACGCAAAAGGTTTGAGTTTTTCTTCCCTGGGCTACCCAATCCCAGACCCCCTTGCTCCCTTTTCTTGCATGCTAATTCCCATCATAGTTGTCAGGCGATGCCTAGGCAACAAGGCGCCCTTTGAAGCTCACCTCGCCTAATTGCCAAGCAATTTTCTACTTCCTACTATAAAATACTTTTTCATTCATTCTTTTTTTATATTATAATTATAAAATAGACATTATTAAACTAAAATAATCATTTTGTGTGTTTATATACTAATTTCTTTTTATTATTTTTTTATTTATTAGGGTTTAATCAACACAAACATTGCTAAATGCTGTATCGAACCCTCAAAGACTTAAAAACCTGAACCAATAAGGATGAACTTAAAATTTTATCTAATCAGCACATTTTTCTCTTCCATATATTCTTCTTCTACTTCTACTTCTACTACTACTACTACCAATACTTTTTATTTTCTTCTTTTCCTATAACAAAAATAAGGGTTCAGCCCCTATATTTTTTTAATTTTATTTTCCTTCTTCATTTTCTTCTCATGAATATGTTGATTTTCTATACTTTAATATGAAATTTATACTTTCTTATGAAAATCATGAATAATTATTAAAAAATATGGTTATAGTACCTAGGGAACTACCCTAGGATCTATGTTTTTAACATAAAAAAAATCCATCGCCTAGGCGGGCACCTAGGCGACTAGTAGACAAGGCCCCCCCCAGTCACCTAGCCTCGCCTTGGCACCTTGAAAACTATGATTCCCATCTTACCAAATGATCCTTCCTTCCCACAAAAAGTCCCTCATCAGTTTCTCTACTTTCATTACCTCCTTTTGTGGCATCCTAAATACTGTAAGGAAGTAAATTGGGAGATTAACTAAGATGGATTGAATTAAAGTAATTTGACCCCAAAGTCACATTATTTCTTTTCCAAGCCACCAGTTTCTTAGCACATCTTTACACCACGGGATTCCAAAAACTTCCCTCCCTAGGATTGGCTCCTAATGGTAACCCCAAGTATCTCAAAGGCCAACTAGATGTCACAACCTAACTCCTCAGCTACCCCACCCAATTCCTCCTCTAAATTTATCCCCACCACACAACTCTTTTGGAAGTTAATCTTTAGCTTTGGCACAACCTCAGACAACTTTATCACCCCTTTCAAGTTCCTTGCTATCAGAGGGTCCCCAGTCTCACAAAAAAGGATAGTGTCGTTTGCGAATTGTAGGTGTATAACAATAACACCCTCTCTTCCAACCTTCCATCCTTTAATCAGATTCAGCCTGTCCGCTCTCAAAATCATCTGCTAGCAAGGTAAAGAGGAAGGGAGAGAGTGGATCCCCCTGTCTTAGTCCTCTAGTTGCTGGAAAAAAATCTCGAACCACTTCATTAACCAACACAGAATAATGAGTACTAGTCAAACAACCTTTATTCCAACCACACCACCTATCTCCAAACCCAAAATCCCTCAAAACTTCCATCAAGAATGACCAATCTACTAGATCGTACGCTTTCTCCAATGATTTGATCAATAATTTGTCTACCTTGAATGAAAGCCCCTTGCAATTGACTTATTAAGGAGGGCAGAACTATTTTTAACCTCAAGGAAATTGTAGATACTAGTCACCAAACTGATGGGTCTGAAATCTCTAAGCTGAATAGTATCTCCCTTTTTAGGTATCAAGGCTAAGAAGGTGGAGTTAACCCCTGGGCTAATAGAATGCTCTTCAGAAAACTCCTCAAACATTACCCATAAATCTGACTTGATATCCTAATAGTCTTGATAAAAAGCCACAATGAAACCATCTGACCCTAGAGCTTTAAATCGATTCATTGAGAACATTGCTCCCCTTATTTCTTCCTATTCAAAATTCCTTTCCAACCAGTGTGCCATTTCAGGGTTCAAGCTTGGCCAATCTAATCCTACTAGGCTAAAACTAGTGCCCTCCTAACTCTTATATACCTCTTTAAAGTGATTTACGAAACAAGTGGCAATCTCCTCTTGGTCAAACACCAACACTCCATTCACTTCCAATTTCTCCACAAAATTCTTTCGCCTTCTACTATTTCTTCTCTAAATAGAATTTCTTCCAACTCCTTCAGTGACCATCTTAGACTCCTGTCTTCCTCTGATAATACACCCAGACTTTCCTTGTCATCAAGAATCTCAATTTGGGATATCACATTTAATTTCCTATCCTCTAGTCTCTCAAAACGCTCTCTGTTCCACTCCTTGATTTTGATTTTTAAACTTTTTAATTTCCTGCGGAAAGATCCTCCTCCCCCTTGGATTCCTTCCATCTCTTCATTCCACCACTCTTTCACCTTTAGTCTCAATGCTAATCGGCTAATGATCCGAGGTAACTCTTGGTAAAGCTCTAGCTAACAATCCTGTCCAATGCACTTCCCATTCAGAGTTAAAAATAAATTTATCCAGTTTGGAGTAACTTGGGGGGTTCTGTAAGTTAAACGAGGTGAAAATGGTCTGCTAAAGAGGAAGTTCCATCAATTCACAATCATCAATAAAATCATTAAATTTCCTCATGCTTGTCGTGACCAATTGGTCGGGGTTATTTGTCTTGTTTGTGAATCTAACCACATTAAAGTTACCACCTAAACACCATGGTTCATCCCACAACCCTCTAATGTCATAAAGCTTTTCCCACATTAAACCTATATCTTTGTATCTGTTGGAACCATAGACATTCGATAGAACCCAAGTAAACCCATCTCCCACAACTTTGAACTTCAGAGAGACTGAGAATCAACCTATTAACTCCACCGGTTCCACCACCTCCTTCCTCCACATTGTCACAATCCCCAGAGGTCCCCCACAAGGGCACAAAAGGATCATCCTATCCCTCTAGAGAACCACACACTTATCACCCATCTTGTATCCAGGATTTCCAATTTTGTTTCTTGCAGCATTACTATATCTAGACACTCTTTTCTGAGAAGATCCTTTATTACCCTTCTTTTCCTAGCACTGCCTAAGCCTCTGACATTTCAACTCAATATCTTCATATCAAAATTCAACTTAATCCCCACTCAAAAAATCCCTTACTTTGGACCCTTCCGTCTCTGCCCCCTTGCACTAAATTCAAGATCAGCCGCAACATCAGATTTTAGTTTCTCTACCCCTGTCATTTTTCTCTTCCTTTGCTCATTTGTCTCTTTTTCCCTTTCTTTTTGGCATAGGTTTTAATGTTTTCTACCTCTCTCAACTTTAATCCCATCGCTTACACAAGATTTGTCGCCAATTCCTTTTCCTTTTTATTTGTCCCTTCATTAGTTTCTCTACCCCTGTCATTTTTCTCTTCCTTTGCTCAATTGTCTCTTTCTCCCTTTCTTTTTGGCATAGGTTTTAATGTTTTCTACCTCTCTCAACTTTAATCCCATCGCTTGTACAAGATTTGTTGCCAATTCCTTTTCCTTTTTATTTGTCCCTTCATCTACCCTCCCTTCCCTCTATGAGACGTCCTGTACACCCAAATCCCCTACATTATCTTCAGTAACAGCCTCCTTCCTTTGCAGATCCTCAAGATATTCACACACCAGCCCCCAGAGAGCACCTCCTTCAAGCAATGGAAAACCTTTGTGACATGAATTAAGTGACCAACATTTGACATGGCTGATTTCTGGCCACATCATCATCTTCCTCACTGGGACACCCATTCTACACCTGCAATTCCAAGCTAGATTCTAAAGCAAATTGGTTCCTATACAGAACCCTTCTTCCTTGGAGCTACTTCAGGTCCTTCTCGTAAGTGGCTTTGGATCCTTCAAGGAACATGTTGAGAATGAGATACCTCATCCTACCCATTACTGTTATTTCTCCTTGGAGCCTTCAAACTCCAATTATATTAAAGCATGAATTCATGGGCGCATCTACAAAAAAGTAATATATTATTAAAACAATTCATATTTTCTTTTAATTCCAACATCGCATACTGCAATAAAAGGGATCTAAAGTGTTGTCATTGTTACCAATTAACATTTGACAAGAAAAATGGTATTTTTCTTGTACATTAGTTGTTCATTTATGTCAAATAAACTAGGAGATAAAAATGAAATCTTATATAGAAGTGTTCCCAAGAATCCATTGAGTATCGGATTCTGAAAGATGTTCAACATGGATGCATCATCAACTTAGCAGATTCCATGTAACACGGACAGGAAATCTACAAGCAGCACAGCAGCTCCTTTGGAGGTAATGGCTGTATCATCCACAGTGCTGACACATTGTGTCTGTCTTGTTCCTTCTCTTCCCAAAGTTCACTGTAATTTTGCCCATGGTCTTTTTCTGGTAGTGTTCGTTATGGGTAACCTCCTTTTCAATATAAGTGCAAGAGGAAGAGATGGATGAGGGACAACCACTTGAAACAACCTTCTCCCTCATGAAACACATTAATTTCTATGGGTCTCTTCCCACTTTACCTTGCAAAAAACAGACTACAGGACACTTCTACAATAGAAATCTTATTATTATCTCTGGATCTCCATAAAATTACAAATAACCTACTAATTACTATATCCTATACTTATTGGCATGTCTTAACATTCTTTTTTATTATAAGTGCATGTCCTAACATTTTTTTAAAAAAAGGCTATATTCTTAACACCCGCTACCATATAGATAACAAAGACCTAATATAACTTCAAAGTTACTACCTTCCCCTGAAGCAAATAATTTAAATTTTCATTTTGTTCAATACTAGAACTTCTGAATATGACGGATTGAGCATGATAAGTAATTCAATTTTCAGAGGAACATTAAAAACTGATTTTGATGCAGTACCAGTGAGTGATGATGCTTCTATCTAAGACTGCACCACATAACTGATCAGTAATTGAATTTTAACCAAAAGACTTAAGAATCAATTAATGGTGTTACTAGCCTAAGGTCCTTTTCATTAAAATAAGCCAATAAAAATTGTGATGTATACTTATATGGACGTATAGCAAAAGAGAAATGGAAACAAAAGGCCAAAGAAACTACCCTCTGCACACAAAACCGATAAACAGTTAAATGCAAGATAACTTCCCTTGAAAGATTTGAATTCCACCAAAACTTACATCCAATCCATTAAGAGCATGAGTATGTGAATATTTGGCTTTTCTAATCTCTCAAAGATTCTTAGATCCCTCTCTTTCCAAATGGCCCATCAAATAGAAGAAGGAGCGCGGTCTCCAGCTTACATCTCACGAGTTCTAGAAGTACGCTTTTTTAGCTTCCCAAGCATTTTCACTAGATTCAATTGAAGAAAAACCTCATAATCAAAAAATCACATGGGACAAAGTAAACTTGTGATGTTCAATCAATTATAACGAGTTGAATGCAATAACGCATATGTAAAGTCAAAGAAATGGAGAGAAATTTGTGCAGAAAGAAATTAAAAGAAAGACTAAAATAAAATAAAATAAAGGTTATCAAAACCCGGTTCACTAGAGAGACAGGATAAAGCCCATTCATGGTGTTCTACCTATGAATCATTTCCTTTGATAACTCTGACAGAGTCGGCAGACTCGCCCGTGAGTGTCGATCTGGGTCGTATGGTTTCTTCTTCAGCATTCATGAGTTTCTCCATGTCTTTCAACCTCATCCTCACAGCACTGGTAACAAGAACTGGTGGAGATTGTTTCATTTACAGGAGAAAAAAAAAATCAGTGGGAGTGGCGATGATCAATGATAATTAGGGTTTGAAGAAGAAAAGTACCAGCAGCGGTTCCAATGGTCCATAGCCAGAGAATCTTTACACCGGGGCTTTTGTCTTTCCACATGTTATGTATATATTTTCTCTTGGTGTCCTGTGGACTTGTTCCTAGTCGCAGGCAAGGTTTATATAAGGGTTTTTACAAAGTGGGACATTTGTGTGCAGACAAGGCTACAGACGCAGTAAGGTGCCAACCAGCGTAGCGGAGATTTTGGGATCGAATCCCGCTGCACCTGGGTTGGGGGTAGGGGTGATCATGGGCTGGGCCCGGCCCGGGCCGGGCTTTGCCTTCATAACAACGGACTTAGGCTAGGCCCGGGCCCGGCCCAACCCTTGGCCTAAAAATATAAGCGCGGGCCCAACCTTGTATGGGCCAGGCTCGGTCAGGCCAAAATTTTGAGCCTAATTATTGTATTTCAGTTTCAAAATTAAACAATTGTACTTTTTTTTCACTTATTGTGGTGGAGACTATAGTAATTTATAAGAAACTTTAAACTTAATATCAAAATAAAAGTTTCTAACATAAAAGAAATTAAATAATAATTTATAAGTTTCAATTGATCATTAGTGATATCACACAATTTTGTTGCTCTCTCTTGTCAGACAACTAGGTCGAGTTGGAGGTGACCGAGCTGGTATGTTTTGCAAGAAGGAGAATTAGAGTGCCCATGTTGTCTTTACCCAAGGAGGGCACTCTGATGCTTAAGTCAGAAGGTGTTTTGAGAGTTATTGAGAGAATGAGAGAGCTTGAGAGTGTACAATTGCGCGTACCTTTCCAATAAAAGTGAGCGCTTTATATAGGTTTCGATGATCAGAGCCCTTCACAACGGGTCTCATGTTCTTGCGGAGCCGTTTCCGCTTAGCCAGGCGCATTAATATGTCGATTATGAGATCTGCGTAGAGGTTACGCTCTACTCGAAAAACTCTGAGGTGTGCAATGCGATAGGCCGGTCTAACAGTTGAGGTATTGACATCCCAGAGATCTCGGGCTAGTAACGCATTATCAGTCCAAGTTAGCGAGCCCTCCTCACAGGTCACTGTGGATTCCTACAGCTTGACTGGTCTTTTGAGACAACTCGCCACAAGTTGCTTACTTAGTGTTGAGGTGTCACTTGAAGGCTACATGTCGCTAGGCAATTAGGATTACCAAATTACCCCTCATCAATTGCCCCCCATTCTCAAGCCTACGTCAACTCGGTGAAGGGAGTAGCTCTCAATAAGTTAATTGGTCCGACTGCATCGTAGGTCGCCCGGCTTGAGTCGCGTAGGTAGGTCAGCCATTGAGTCATCTGTTTTTGCATTCGGTATTTTATTTTCTAGCTCAACTAACTCTTTTTCTGTTCTTCAAATATGGCAAGTATGGCTTCAATGTTGGCGGCTTCCAAGGAGAAAAAGGCTTCAAGGAAGAAGCGAAGGGCGGATCGCCACTGCTCGTTGGAGGGGACCTCAGCCAGTGCCGAGGTGAGGTCACCATCTTCTGTCCCCCTATTGTCGACCTTGAGGGAGTTAGTGAACCAATGAGTACCGACCAATACTCTACAAGTCCTGCTGCCTTCCAACAGGTCAGCCAAGAGGGGCAAGAGGCCGACCCCTCATGTCTCGGATATTCCCCACTTCGTTCCCAACATGGATGTCTCCGTACTTGATCGTGTGTCTAATCCTCATGTAGCTATTTGGGTGGCCCAAGGTATGTTGCTTCCTAAAGATGTACATTTTTACCACGACCTAGACCAAATTGACACCGAAACTCGAATGATTCAATGCATCGTTCAGGTTCATCTCCTTGTAAGATTTTTGTCTTTTTGTTTCTGAAGCATCTATTCTAATCATGCTTTTCTTCTTTTGGAAGGCGAGCACCATCAAGCAGGTTTTATTGGACCATGTTCATGCAAGCCAGAAGGAGAGAGGTGAGATGCAAATGAACATTAACACATTTCAGGCTGAGATGCAGAAGCTCCAACTCAATTCGGAGGAGGATCACCAACACTTCTATGAGTTGAGCCAAAAAATGCAACGTGAGTTTACTGAAGCTCAACGCAAGCTGATTGATGCTCAAGACACTATTGTTGCCTAGGCATGACAACTGGAGGAAAGGTGATTGAAGTATACCTAGGACATCCACTGAGCTAAGGAAGCAACCATCTCTCGCTTCTTGGAGTCCCCTGAGTATGAGAATAAGAAAGCGGAGGACACCCTTCTTCAATGAAGAAGAGTTTCAAACTTTGTTGCCGCTATTTGAAGATGTTGTATCCTACCTTCAATTTCGGCTCCCTCTCTGTGAACAATGTACCGAACGAGCTCACTACACCAGTTGATGAGGAGCCTCTGAATCCTGAAGAGGATGAGCAGGAAGACAACGAAGAAGGGGATGAGGAGGGCAATGCTGTCAAAGATGAGCTGTAGGGTGGCAATGAAGAGTAGCTCAACCTATCTGGTGGTTTTTGTTTCTCTGATGATTCTGAGAGCCTGTGTGCTCTCCTGTAAGTTGTTTCCTTGGGCATGCGTGCCTTTTATCTCCAAACTTATTGACACTAAGTATTTTTTTTTTGCATACATGTATGGTCATAGGCCTTTCTTTACTTAATGAAACTTATACTTTCACATCTAGTACTTTTCTTTTGGATGGAATTCTTTCATGTTTCTTTTGTTTAGCTCAATCAAATAGTCGCTAGGTTGGTCAGGTGCCTTAGTGCAAAAACTTTATTCCTATTGAGCTATCGAGAGGTTAGCCCGAATGCCTTAGATTCTTTTTGTAGCTGTTGCTCAAAACTTTTCTTCTGTGCTCTTTTTGCCAAGCTATTTGTAGGTCGGCCTGAATGCCTTGGTGAAGTTTTACAAGTCTATAGATGCAGCTCAGAACACTTCTTCTCAAAGGTAGTACTTTCGCAGGTTGTCTATGTTCCATGCCCAGGGTACCACCTTCCCCTCAAGTGTCTCGAGCTTGTACGCATTTCCACCTATTATTTTGGAGACTCTGTAAGGGCCTTCCTAGTTTGGGCCTATCTTTCCCACTCCGAGCTCAGGCACCATAACTTTTTTGAGTACCAAGTCGCCAATTCTGAATTGGCGTTTCTTGACTCGGGCGTTATAGTACCGAGCCATCCACTGTTGGTATGCTGCAGTCCGAATGTAGGCCAAGTCTCTAACTTCTTCCACCAAGTCGAGGTTGGTCCGTAGGTCATCTTCATTAGTTTCTTCGCTGAATGCCTCGGATTGCAAGGTCGACACCTCCATCTTTGTCAGTATTACAACCTCGGTTCCATATGTTAGGTTAAAGGAAGTTTCACTTGTCGCCATTTTGATGGTTGTTTGGTAGGCCCATAACACATTGAGTAGCTCATCCACCCACAAACCTTTAGCTCGGGAAAGCCAAGCTTTAAGGCCACGGAGGATTGCCCTGTTAGTTACCTCGGCCTGACCGTTAGCTAGGGGATGGGTGACCGACGTGAAATTTTGCCTTATACCCATTTCTGCACACCAGTTTTGAAACTTGATGTCCTTGAATTGTTTGCCACTGCTCAAGATCAATACTCCCGGCAACTTAAATCTGCATACAATGTTTCTCCAAAAGAAGTTCTACACATTCGAAGCTATTATGGTGACTAGTGGCTCGACCTCTACCCATTTTGTGAAGTAGTCAACTACTACCACTAAAAATTTCTTCTGTTTAGTTGCTGGCGGAAAAGGGGTCCAGTATGTCTATCCCCCACTGTGCGAATGACCACGAGTTAGTTAGGTATTTCAGGTCAGCCGCTGGCTGGTGTGGGATGTTGGCATGTCATTGGCACTTGTCACATTTCTATACCAAATCGATCATATCCGCTTTCATCATGGGCCAGTAGTACCCTTGTTGCAAACCTTTTTGGGCGACAACTTCATGTAATATCTGATCTTCTTCAATTCGGCGTAGACATTGTAGGTAAGGTAGCGTGAAAGACCTTCTATACAGTTGCTCGCTCACAATCACATAGCAAGTCGCTTGTCATTTTATTCTCCGAGTTGCATTACGCTCCTTTGGCAGTATGTGTTGGCATAGGTAGCTCGGCTCTGCTGTTGCTATTTGGGTGACCTCCTCCACTGCCTTCTCTATAGAGGGGTGAGGTAAGCCTTCGATGTAGATCGTTCTCATCGTCGAATCAATCGTGCTGGCCAACCTGGAGAGGGCATCGGCCTCGGTGTTTTCTGATCTCGGAATTTGTTGGAGGTACCAAGAGTGGAAGCTAGGCAGGAGTTCCCTTACCTTAGCTAGGTAGGCTGACATGGTGGGTTCCCAAGTCTCATACTCTCCATTCACTTGGTTTACTACGAGTTTTGAGTCGATGTAAACCACGAGATGTTTGGCCCCGACCTCCTTTCCTAGCGACAACCCGGTTATAAGTGCCTCATACTCGGCCTCATTGTTTGAAGCTCAGAATAAAAACCGGAGCATGTATTCCAGTTTCACCTCGCTAGGTCCATAGAGTATTAACCAGTCCCACTTACACTCTAGTTGGACGAGCTGTCCACATGGAGTATCTAGGGCTCCTCGTCCCTGGTCGGGATCTCCCGAGCTGGGGTAGGTGTCGTGCTGGTTGAAGCCTCCATTCAGGGGTCAACGAGCTAAAGGTACACTTGGCGATGAAGTTGGCCACGACCTGTGCCTTTATTACTGGTCGCGACTCATAACGGATATCATATTTTCTGAGCTCGATTCCCCACTTCATTAGTCTCCCTAGGACATTGGGCTTCTGAAGGATCTACCTCAGAGGTCGGTCGGTTGGGACTATGACAGTATGGGACTGGAAGTAAGGTCTTAGTTTCTGGGCTTCTAACACCAAGGCAAAGTCTAATTTTTTTATGTCCGGGTACCTTATCTTAGTGGTGTGCAAGATTTTGCTTATATAGTAAACGAGTCGTTGAACTTTATCTACTTCTCTTATTAGGACCGAGCTAACTACCTCGTCACTTGCGGAGAGGTAGAGCTTAAGCTCGTCCCCGATCTTAGGTCCGGTCAATAAGGGATGTGAACTTAGGTAACTTTTCAACTCGTCAAAGGTGAGCTGACACTCTTCAATCCACTCAAAGTTTTGGTTTTTCTTTATTGCCTTAAAAAAGGGTAAGCACTTCCCAACCGA